GATCAGTGGAGCCAGACGGGAGCTATAGCCCATCATCATCCTCATCTGGTTGTAAGTAGGCAATCTAGTATATTATTTGTGGCACTAATCTCTAATTTACCTCACATTAAAGGGACACTATAGTCCCCAGAACCACTACAGCTTAATGTAGTGGTTCTGGTGTCTAGCCTGTCCCTGCAGGCCTTTTAATTTAACACGGCGGCACTGCAGCACTGGTGTTAGTTAACATGGCAGATCATATGGGTGGGGCATTGTGATGTCACATGGGGGGGCGGCAAACTTTACTTTTGCCTAGGACGGCAAAAATCCTTGCACCGGCCCTGCAGACACTGCATTCCTGTGGGCGGACTCGGGTGCAGGCACCGGGGGGCCCAGACCTTGAGCTGTGTCAGGGGCCCCACAATTTCTGATGGCAGCCCTGCAGACACACACTAACAAACACACACACAAACACACTGTTACAGGCATTACTGACACACACACACACACACACACAGGCATACTCAGAGACACACACACACACTTTACACTTTTAAGGCCAGTAGACAGGGGCTGTGTAAGGGGACAGGGCTGTAGTGGGGGGACAGGGGCTGTAGTGGAGGGTATGAGCTAAATCAGAGGGGGATTAGAAATGTAGTGGGGGATAGGGCTGAAGTGAAGGATGGCTACAATTTAGGAAAGGCTGTGGTGTGGGTGATATGGCTGCAACTGGGGAGGTTTGCAGCGGGGATGTTATGGGGAACTGTGGGGGCATGGTATGCAAGGAAGGGATGGTGGATATGGGGAACGGGGGCAGGGGCTGCTAAAGGGGACATGGATGAGCAAGGAGGACAGGGCTGAGTTGTGCTATGAGCCAAGTGGAAAGGGGACAGGGGCTGAGGAAAGGGGGACAGGGGCTGAGGAAAGGGGGGACAGGGGCTGAGGAAAGGGGGACAGGCTGAGGAAAGGGGACAGGGGGCTGAGGAAAGGGGAACAGAGGCTGACCAAGGGGGATAGGGGCTGAGCAAAGGGACACACACACAAACATAAACTTTACAATTTAAAAGCCAAGAGGACAGGGCTGTAGTGGGGGGACAGGGGCTGTAGTGGAGGGTATGAGCTGTAATTGGAGGGGTTAGGAAATGTAGTCAGGGAATAGGGGCTGAAGTAGGTTGATGGCTACAATTTGGGAAAGGGGCTGTAGTGTGGGTGATATGGGTTGCAATTGTGGGAGAGGAGCTGTAGTGGGGATGTTATGGGGGCTGTGGTGGGGGACATGGGGCTGAGGAAGGGGGGCAGTGGTTGAGGAAAGGGACAGGGGAACAGGGGCTTAGGAAGGGGGTTAAGGGCCGAGGAAGGGGGACAGGGGCCGAGGAAAGGGGATAAAAAAAACAAAAACTGATGATGTCAGGAGGAGGGGGCGTGACTTCCTCTGCTCTTCTTGCAGACTCCCCAGCGGTCCTGGGAGAAGAGCAGTGAAAGTCACGCCCCTCCTCCTGACATCATCCGGAGAGGCTGGCCGACTCCACTGGCTGCAGGGAGAGTGAGGTGAGTTAAAGAGTCCCCATTCGGATTTTAACTTTTTTTGCTGGATGTGGACAGCCCTGGATTTAGGACGGCCTGGGGGGCAATTGCCTCCCTGACCCTTGTCCCAGCTCACCCCTGACTGAGGAAGGGGTAAAGACACACAGGAGGAATATTAGATGTCAGAGGAGAGGAGGGACTGATTTATAACATTATCGAATAAAGGAATATAATATATCATGTTTTAACTCTAGCATGTAAGCTCATTGAGCATGGCCTTCATCTCCTCTGTTTCTGTGCATCTGGTTACAATTGCATGTTTGTTTGTCTACCCACTGTAAAGCGCTACGGAATTTGTTGGCGCTATATAAATATAATAATGATAATAATCACTGCTAAGAAAAAAAAACACATTTTGTGCGACCTATTTTTTTTTACACTGTGTTTTTAGAATTCTAATAAACAATACTGCCCTCTGCTGTCTTTCACATGTAACTATGGTGTTTCCATATACAAAGTTACGTACTAAAGTGAGAATTCAAGGTGGATTCAAAGTGATTCAAACTTAAAGACAAAATAGCTGAACTGAACAAAGTCTCCCAGTCAGCTATGCTTCCAGTTAAGCTATATTGACCTAAACATGTGAAATTCACCTTGGATTTTCATTTTACTAAGAATTAACCCCTAAAATGAGAGAAAAAGAGAGAGAGAGAAAAAGACAAAGAGAGAGAGAGAGAGAGAGAGAGAGAGTGTGTGTCCGTGTGTGTGTGCGTGTAAGGGAATGCACTCCCTTTATACTTTCAAGTTGAGATCTGTGAGAGAATGTGTGAGTTTATAAATATTAAATATTAGGGTCCCCATGAACTCCTAATTATTATGGGGGAATCAAACCATAGTCCTCCCTCATACCACTAATAAATACATATACCAAGTTCTGCTCCATTCCAAGTCACATGTGGAAAGCATGTAACAATTTGATTTTACACATTATGGTTCTAGAAGACAATAGGAGGCACAACAAGAAACCACAGGACCCCGGTGTGAAAATTGCCCTTGCTCGCCCCCTGCCCCAGCCCCTCCATGTGTAACACTCACGCCCCTCAATGTGTCTCATTCATACAAACACACACAAGGCAGGTGCAAACATTTATGACGCCAGGGCCAGACTGGGAAAAAAATTCGGCCCGGGCATTTTTTTATCACAGCGGCCCACTTAGAAGGGGGCGGGGCAGAGAGGGTGTGTTTTGTCATCACTCATGACAAACACGCCCCCTCTCAAAGTGAGCATGTTGGTTCAATGCTCTTCGAGGGCAGACCATGCGCAGAGTTCTACTGAAGAGCCCTGTATTTGTTCTGCACAGTGCAAGCAAATTTAATAACATGCTTGCACTGTGTTTCCTTGCAACTTGTCTCTGGTGTCTCTATAAATGGATACCAGGAGACAAAAGGGCCAGGAAAGAGTATTGTGCATGTGTTTGGAGCCTGCTTGTGGTATTGCGTGTGTGCAGAGTGAGCTGGTCGTGGTGTGGTATTGTGTAATAAGGTCGGTTTTAGTCGTGTTGTGTTTGTGGTGTAATGTAATGCATATGTGGCTAGGGGCTGTAAAGAATGTGTGTATAGGGGATGTAGCAAGTGTGTGTATACAGGCTATAGTGTGTGTGTGTGTATAGAAGATGTAGTGTTTGTAGAGAGTGTGTGTTTGCTTACAAGGAATCTAGTGTGCGTATAGGGGATAAAGAGTGTGTGTGTATATATATATTTTTTTCATGTGTCCTGATGAAAGCTCCGATCGGGAGCTGAAACGTTGACAATTTGGGAACCATACAATAAATTGGATGAAGATAGCCTAGAGTGCCGGTATTTTTTTGATTATATATATATATATATATATATATATATATATATATATATATATATATCTTGTGTGTGTTTGAAGGACCCAGACTATGTATAGGAGATCTAGTGAGCGTGCGTATATAACGGATTCAGAGTGTATATAGTGATATAGTGTGTGTGTATGTGTGTAGATGATCCAGAGTTGGATAAAAGACCTAGTGTGTGTCTGGAATGTAATGTGTTTAGGGGTGCAGTGTGTGTGAGGGGTGCTGTGTGTATATATATATATATTTTATATAAATATGTTTGGAAGTATTGTGTATGTGTGTGATGCAGTGTATCAGGGGTTGTGTGGGTATGTGAGGGGTGCAGTATGTGTGTGTGATGGATGCTGTGTGTGAGGGTGGTGTGGGTGCTGTATGAGGGTGCTGTGGGTGCTGTGTGAGGGTGCTGTGTGTGTGGTTGCTGTATGTGATTGATTTGTGTGAGGGTGCTGTGTGTATGGGTGCTGTGTATGATGTGTGTGGGTGCTGTGTATGATGTGTGTGAGTGTTGTGTGTGATGTGTGTGAGTGCTGAGTGTGATAGTGCTGTGTAGGATATGTGTGAGAGTGCTGAGTGTGAGAGTGCTGAGTGTGTTGTGTGTGAGAGTGCGGTGTGTGATGTGTGTGAGTGCTGAGAGTGCTGTGTATGATGTGTGTGAGAGTGCTGTGTATAAATGTTGTGTGTTGGGGGGTAAATATACAAACAAACAAAAACTAAGGGCG